GCCCTCACCACTTTTTGAAGGACAAAATGAACTTCTCTGTTTTTAGCTGGAAGAGAGCTCCAGCAAATATTTGGATAATTTAAGTCTGTCATCATTATCATAGTATGCCTCTAGCCAGATTATTCTTTCTCTAACTCTTCATATTATTTTTCAGTCTGTCCAGGTAGTAAATAGCACAGTTCCATGATGACATCACTTCTATTTCTCCTTCCATTGATCCTCACTGAAATAGTGTCTACCGTAATTCATATAATCAAATAACAAAATTTTATGAGATAATACTCATAAAGCACTTAGCATAGAGCTTGGCACATAGCAGGTGCTTAAGGAATGCCTATTCCCTCCCTCCTTCCCTCTTTTGGTTCATGGATTTCCTTCCAAGTATATGTTCCTAATATCAAATACTAATCTACCATCCTTTTAGTGTGTACTGTTTCTTTTGAATAAGGTATGCCCTCCTATAGTCATAGTCTGATCAATACTTAATTTGGAGTTCACAGACATTGGTTCGGTGGATAGATTTCAGGGGGACCATGAACTTGAATGGGAAAATAGAGCTTTATTTTCACTCTAACTATCCTTTAATTATATCCTTTAATTATGAATGTTAACAACAAAACAATATTCTGAGAAGGGGTCTAAAGGCTTTACTAGGCTGTCAAAAGTTATCCATGACATGCAAAAAATGAAATTAGAATGAACATCTATCCATAGTTCCCATCGTACCAAGTCTTAGACAGCTATGAAGTAAAATTTATCTCTTAATCCTTAGATCTCCATTTCACTGTGTTTATTACCTGTCTTTGTGCATTAGTGTATAGACATCTGAAGCCCCAAGTTTTATTGCTCTATTCTTGGATATTACTTTCTGTGAATTAGTGGTCCTCTTCACAAATATTCTTCCTATGTCATAGCTGTCTTTGTGGCACCTACTAGGGAGATATATGTGGGTTATTTTTCTCTTTCCTTTCATTTTCACTTTACTTCCTGATCCCCATTTTTCTTCCTGATTAGAATAAATTACTTTTTCAGAATTCAGTATTAAAAGTCTTTGCAATCATTTTAAGCAGTTTTAGAGTTTTAGCACATGGGATCTTTTGTATCCTTTCTCTGAACTCTGAAGTATATTCTCCTAAAATTTACATTATAGATCACATCCTGTGTTGACATTTTTTTCTTTATCTATCACAAACTCTAAGATGGCATGTTTTCCTCCCATGGCTTCAATAACCAGCTCTTCCTTAATAGTCAAAATCAGGTCCTGAATAGTATCTCTTATTATTGTTTCCTCTCCCTTTTGAAAGATGAAATTATCTACATTTGTTTCACTTTCAGCAGAGAGAGACCCCCAACACAGCTATGCCTCCATGGTTGTGTGAACTGTCTCAAGAACTTTCATCCAAATCCTCCAGCTGGCAAGGTTGGACTTCAGCATACTCCCATTGCTTTATGATTTCTCTTTCTCATTTCTTTGATCCTTACCCAAATGCTCTCTCTCTCATACTTTCCAGCTGTGGTCTGTGAATTTCCACAGCTGTGGCAAACCTCTTGCTCTACAATGCCTTGCCTTCTAATAATGATGATAATAATAGCTAGCATTTATATACTGCTTTAAGGTTTGCAAAGAGCTTTACAAACATTATTTCCTCTGATCCTTATGGCAACCCTGGGAAGTAGACGTTATTCCCTATCTTACAGAAGAGAAAATTGAGGCAGGATGAGATTAAGTGATTTTTCCAGGGTCACACAGCTGAGAAGTATCTATGATTTTGGATTTCAACTCAACTTTTCTTGATTCCAGGTCTAACACTCTATTTATCCACTATGCCACTTAATTGGTTCTAATCTGCCTTCTACCTTATCTGTTATGCTTGAATAAGTTACGAGTTATATTCCACCAAGTCTAAAAATTACCTTTCATATGATTCCTCTGGCCTCTATCCCTCTAATAATGGCTACTTCAGGAGAACAGATTATGAGCTCCTTGAGATCAGGGACTGCTTTTTTTTGGGCCTTCTTTACGTTTTTTTTTTTTTGCCTCAGCACTTTAGCATAGGGCCTGGCATACAGAAGACCCTTAATAAATGCTTGTTGACTTAACTTGATTGTAATTGATAAGGAAATGAGGTTTTCAGCAGCTCTCCTACAATCAGGGGTATATTAGCAAATACCAACTTTTACCTTACAGCATTAGTTTACTTAGCTCTTAGAAGAAAATGACATCTATCAACTGAGAATTTCAGTCTGGATCATGACTGCTTTCCTGTAAAATGAACATAACTGGCTCAGAGATAAAGATAAAGAGGGCTAATCCACTGATTTTACATAACGAAGCTCCAACCATCAGTAAAGTTTTCTGGCCAGCCATGGTTCTTGGTTCAAGGAAGCCTACTTGTGGATTTCTGCCCTGAGGAGTTCCAATCACACAAGGTCAAGGTAGCCTTTGCAGCCTTATGGGTAGTGGGGGGGGGGGGTCTCTGCAGGATGAGCCCTACTAAGCCATATCAAAACAAAGACTTGATCACTAGTCTTTTTTCCAAAGCTCTCATGAGACACGGACCAAACTTCAGGCTAAGCTGTCATTTGGCAGCCATGGGTCACCTAACTAATGCTAATGGGAAAATGGGATAATATATGGAAATGAACTAAAATAAATCTCAAGAAATAATATTTCAGTAAATAAATCTCAATAAAACTCAAACTTCTCTCTAGTTGTTCAAAATCTTTTTTTTTCCTCTTAACCTTCAGCAGAGTTTCTAACAAGCAGCAAAATTAGCTGGTTTGAATTTTACTCTCTTTCCCCCCTTTTCCCATCCTCCAGGGGAAATTCTAACGAATACCATGTGGTCACATTGTTGTTGTTTAGATGTTTTTCAGTTGTGTCTGACTCTTTGTGATCCTTTTTGGGGTTTTCTTGGTGGAGACACTGGAGTGGTTGGATATTTCCTTCTCTAGCTCATTTTACGAATGAGGAAACTGAAGCAAACAGGGTTAAGTAACTTGCCCAGGGTTATACCGCTAGTAAGTGTCTGGGGCTGGATTTGAACCCAAGAAGAGAAGTCTTCCTGATTCCAAGCCCAGTACTCTATCCACTGTGACACCTAACTACCCCTACAAACATACACATATACATATTTATGTATGTATGAGCACATATGTATACATAAATATATACATATATAGATATATACATAGTATACACAGTCTATACATATATGTATGGGGACAAATAGGTAGGATGGGGCAGCTAGGTGGCACAGTGGATAGAGTGAATTAGGAAGACTAATCTTCCTGAGTTCAAATCTGGACTCAGACACTTCCTAGTTGTGTGACCCTGGGCACGTCACTTATCCTGTTTGCCTCAGTTTCCTTATCTGTAAAATGAGCTGTAGAAGGAAATGGCAAATCACTCCAATATCTCTGCCAACAAAACCCCAAAAAGTGTCACAAAGACTCAGACACAACCGAAATGACTAAACGACAAAAACAGCAGTAGATAGATAGATAGATAGATAGATAGATAGATAGAGTGACCATGGGCTCTGTAATGACTGTACTACATATTAGAACTTCTTTTCTTTACAGGGGAGCAGGACAAAGGAGTTGCACAAAAACCAGCCAATTAGAAGGATTTTTGAGGTTCAGAGCTGCTTGACATACCAGTGATCCTTTGTGATCTTAGCTGAATATGGAGATGTCTGTAGCTGCCAGAACCACAGAACCAGCCTTGATCAACTCAAGGGCAACCTTGAGCAGATGTTACAGACTCAAAACCTTGCTCAGGGATTTCTAATCATCCTGCTGCCTGGCTTATTGTGTTTACAGATGTCTTTTCCCTTAAAGCATGCCCCAGTCCCTTCCTGCTAGAAAACCTCTAGAAACTATAATATCTCACCCTTGTTCACAATAGACAGACAGACAGACAGACAGATAGATAGATAGAGTCAGCTTTATTTACAAATACCAGTGATGTGCCTGGCCTAGTAAAAGGTGCTGCATTAGGAATTCTAGCAATCTCCCTTCCATAGATCCTTTACTTAAATCAGGATGGAGAAATGACCGGCAGTTTCACTCCCCGCCCCACACACACACTCAGGGGTCCAGTGAAGGGCGCTAGTATGCAAAGGAAGTCCTGTGACTGATTAATTACTAAATGAATGAATACAAGTGATAAACTGAGTGGCAGGTATAAGATCACCAGTCTTGAATGGAATTCATTCACACATTTAAAGAAACATTTTTTTATTAACCCTTGATGCTTAATGTTCCTATGCTGTATTTAAAAAGTTGGGGGAAGATTATATGTTTCCCTCTATCAAAGCTTTCCCTTAGGGATCAGCTCAGTCCTGTTTTGTGTGTTTATGTCCTGTCTTCCCACCCACTGGGCACAGAATGAGCTTTCATGTAGATTGGTTTTATATACAGCCTGGCACAATTACGAGGTCTACAAAGGAAAATAATAGCATTTGTTTAAAAGAAATTATTACTACAAAATGATCCAATAATGATTATTTAGAGCTACTACCTCAAGTTCCAGCTCAAATTCCCAAGAAGGCAGGAATGAATGGATAACAAATCACCAGCTAATCTCTCATGCACACCTTCAGCACTTACCAATACATCTTTAAAGAAAGCAGGCTAAAAAGAAAAAAAAATTGGGTTTGTCACCAGCAAACCACTTCAAATCCATGCCCTGCTTCATATTAATCTAAGCTTGAAGGACCAGCTATGTGAATCTAAACCCTTGGACAGCAGTAAATCAACTGAAAGCCTATTAGTGTTTGATGAACGTTCACAACTTTTCAGTGTCTGGAAAGAATAAACCCAGGCCTGCTCAGGTGAAGCATCAGCCTCACGTAGCTTGAAGTGTGCTTGTACCAGAGCGGACACTGAATCTGAAATCAAAGGAGGTGCTCTTGGAAGAGCAAGGGATGAGGATGGGAGGAAAGTGAGCTGCAAAAACGACTTCTCTGCTCCCCATTCCAAACCCTGGGATGTACCTTGACTTCCATAGCTGGTATCCATACCAGAGCTATCCCATGATTCAACAGCACTGTCCACGCTGGGTGCTGTACCGCAGTAAATGTCGGAGTGTTTGCCCTGGTTTCTGTGGAGTAGATGTTTCATCCTCTACATCACTCAGCTCACTTAAATGACTGGGAACGGGGAATTTCTTGGGACTTGATGCTGAATGGACTTCAAAGACAGGAAATTAATTTAAGCTTCACAGCAAGGTTAAAGGAAAAAAAAAGTTACTCAATTCTCCTTTGGCTAAGAACAAAAGACTGGAAAGTCATTTCCCGAAAAGTATACACACAAATGCACGCTTGGACATTGTTACTGAGGGGAAGAAACATAGGGGTAATCATTAGCTGTCTGAGGAACAGCACCATGGTTCTAGTTACACTCACCATCTGTCTGCTTCTTAATTTTCAACGTGACAGTCTCTCCTGCCATCTGTAACAAATGGATGGCTTCACTCAAAGGTTTTCCCTTCAAGCTACTGCTGTTGATGGCTAGGATTCGATCGCCAATGTGGATTGCACCGGTTCTGAAACAACAAATAAAACTTATTGGAAAGGTAAATATAGCCCCAGCTCTTTCCCCTACAGCAATTCTTTGACATACTTCACAGAATCATGAAAAACACAGGGCTGGAAAAAGAACCCTAGGGAGTCTGCTCATCTATTCTCTTCCAAGGCAATTGTTAAGAGAGAATTGCTTCTATTGGGCACCTCTTTTTGGTTTCTAGCATTCAAAGAAAATTAGAGAAAGAATTTTAACTACTATCCAAAATTGTAAGACTTTCAAATCCCAAGAAGACAAAAAATAATTTTTTAAAGGCTAGGGAAGCAAATAAATCAACAAATAAGTAAGGCAACATTTACCTAACGATATAACTTTTCCCCAAGGATTTCAAATGTTTTGTGAAGAATTGATATTCCTGTTCTCCAGAATGAAGCTGTTGGACAGCTATTGATGGGAAGTCTTACTCCAGGAAATACACACAGAACCACTCTTATAAAGGTTCTTGGGTTCATGATTCCCAGAATTTCATACTCAACCACATCATGTAATTCCGGGAACATTTGTAAAGTGCCTATTATGAGTTGGGGCACCTTGCTAAGTGCTGGGGACATAAAATGAGGCAAACGTCCCTGCCCTCAAAGAGCATGCAGTCTAACGGGGGAGTAAACATGCAAATATACACAAAGCAAGCTATATACAGGATAGAGAGGAGATAATTAAAAGAGGGAAACCACTGGAATTAAGAGGGGTTAAGGGGGCAGCTAGGTGGCAACGTAGATGGAGCACTGGCCCTGGAGTCTGGAGAACCTGAGTTCAAATCCATCCTCAGACACTTACTAGCTGTGTGACCCTGGGCAAGTCAACTTAATCCTGATTGCCTCCAAAGAAAAAAGAAAAAAAAAAGAGGACTAAGGAAGGCTTTCTATAGAAAGTAAGATTTCAATTGGGATTTAAAGGAAGCCTGGAAGGTCAGTAATCAGAGAAGAGGAAGAAGATTGTTCCTGGCACAGAACAAGCAGAGAAAACACTCTGATGGAGTGTTCAGAACTAGAATTTTGAGTCTAGCTAAGGTACTACTTATATAATCATATAGTGTTCTTGAGGCTGCCTCCTTCATGGGTCACAACCCAATTCTGCATTGATCACTGAAAAGGTTGTGAAGGCAGTTTAGTTTCTAAAAATATCCGATCTTTTTTTATAGTTACTATATAGGAAAGCTGACTTGAATTGCCTGAAGGTTAAGAGCTATAACATTCAAAACTCACCATGAAAAATAATTTTTCAGATCTGAAAGATTAGTTGACTATTTCCCAATGATAGTGATAATTTTAAGTGTATAAAAGAGAGAAGGATAAGGACTGGACCCTGTGATTTCACTGGTATAGGGAACTCCCTGATGAGGAAAGACTATAAAGTATATGAATAGGCTAATATTGTGTTTGAGAGAGTACATGTGTATATTAATACAATTCTGTTATGTGGCCATACAGGACAGGCTACAATTTTATGTTTGATGAGTTGAAATAAAAACTTGATTTCATTCATTTTGTTATTTGGCATGAGGGGAAAGCTGCTCACATTTTATAATGCTTTAAGATTTGCAAAAAAACTTGTTATACGTAAAGGAAAGAAATAAGCATTTATATAGCACCTACTACGTGCCAGGTACTGTGCTAAATCCTTTGCAAATATATCATTTGAACCTCATAGTTAATAAATAGGCACTATTGGTGTTATTACCTCCATTTCACAGTAGAGGAGAAGGAAGGGAAGAGAATAAGGATTTATATAGTGCTTACTCTGTGCCAGGAACTGTACTTAGGGCTTTACAAATATTATTCAGTTGATCCTAACAACAATCCATTGAGGTAGGTCCCCATTTTACAGATGAGGAAATGAAGGCTCAGCAAAGTTAAATGATTTGCCTTTGGTTATACAGCTAGGAAGCATCAGAGGTAGGATTGGATCCCAGGTCTTTCTGACATCAAGTCCAGCATTCTATCCACTATGCTTGACTGCGCTGGAAATTCGGACATGTTATATGGGAAAAAAAAAAGATTTTTTTTTTGTGTTTGTCTGCAGAGTAGTATTAGTGTTGGTCTGTAACACGCTATCCATGTTTCCCAACATTGTATACATAGTGGCACACCTTAGTTGCCAATATCTACTTTTAGACATGTTAGCTTATCAGAAAGCCACGTACATTTTTTCTACTTCTGAACCGGAAAAGAGGTACATATAAAATACAGGATGTGGAGTCAATCAATCAATCAATCAATCAATCAATAAACAGTTATCAAGCACCTACTACATACCAGTGTCTGTGCTAAGCACTGAGTATACAAGAAGAGGCAAAACTAAATAGATTCTGGGGGCAACTAGGTGGTGCAGTGGATAGAGCACCAGCCCTGGGGTCAGGAGGATCTGAGTTCAAATGTGACCCCAGACCAAACACTTGACACTTATTAGCTGTGTGACCCTGGGCAAATCACTTAACCTCAATTGCCTAAAAAAACAAAAACAAAACTAAGTAGATTCTGCACTTGATGGTTTATCTACAATTCATCTTTCATAATATGATAGCTTCACAAGCAATGCACTCTAGACTCCTACAGCAACTCCCTGGTCCCTAAGAGGTCAGTGGATGATTTTTTAAAAGCCCTTCAATTTTAATATTCTCTTAATTGGAAATGCAAACTGTCGGGCTGGTGGGTAGAAGGAAAGAAACCATAGGATGTATTCTTGAGCAAGTAAGAAAAGATTTTTATATTGTTCTCCTCCATCAATTTAGTATTGGTGTCTGAGAGCCTTAAAACATTTCTGCACTAGGCCACCCTTAGTAAGGCAGAAAAGGATTAGGATTTGAGAGCTAGAAGAGCTCTTGGAAATCATCTCCTGCCATATTCTCATTTTAATGATGGGGAAATGAAAACCCAATAGGGCAAAGTAGCTCCCTGAAAGTCAAACAGACGAATTAGGAGGAAGGAAAACCTAGAAAATGGGAGGATATTTGAGCCCATGGAATATCCTAGTTCTTCCTATATACAAATCATGATTCCCAACCTTGGAAATCTCTAAGAATTCGGTTCTCTGAAATTGTCTTTTTCACAATTTCTTATGGCACAATTGTATTCCTTTATATTCATACACTATAATTTGTTCAGCTGTCCTTGGATAAGGCCAGTGTGGAAATCTGTTTTACTTCACTTTTTACACACACACACACACACATATGTATGTATATATGTATACACACACGTACACATACAGATGTGTATGTATATATGTGTGTGTATACATATACATAAATTTTATTTTTCAAGGGAATGGGGGAAACAGAGGAAAGAGAAGGCAGAGTGTTTTAAAAATAAATTCAGCTCTCTCCATGTGTCAAAGGGATGACAACAACAAATGCTCGTATTTTTTACAGTGCTTTCAGACTTGCCAATCACTTTACATGTTATTTAATTTGATCCTCACAGCAACTCTGTGACATGGGTGCTATTATTCTCTCCATTTTACAGATGAAGAAACTGAGACACAGAAGAGACTAAGTGGCCTGCCCAATGTCGCAGAGCTAGTAAGTATCTGAGACAGAATTAGAACTAGGATATAGACTGATCTGTTTGTGTGTTCTTGGACAGCCCCAAGGGCTCATGTCAGCCCTCAGGGTTGTCTGAGAACTTACATAAAGAATGGTCAGTCTAGTTAAGAACTTTAGAATCCACCCCACTTATGCCTTAACACAGCACACCTGGGATTCTGAGGGGCTCAGCAGCTAATGAACCAAGGGGGAAACAGCAGGATACTGAGCTGTCACAAGCGAGCAGTGTTTCTTTGAATAAAACTCTTAATCAACCTGAAGTTTTGCTTCCTCTTCTGTCAACCCAACATGATACAAATCTTCCTTCAAAGGGCTGTGAGAAATACAGCTAAACTATTCATCAACGTAGATCATAAATTTCCAAAGAGTCACATCAGCCCCAGGTAGTAGCATCTTTCTCTGTGATGTCCCTCAATGTCAACCTGGGCCACAGAGAGCTCTAAAGCCTTTCCTGAGCCCCTCAACAGCCAGGGCACCCCCTCTGAAACTACCTTGTATTTAATTACCTTGCATTTTTATTCTATCTATAATTCTATCTGTATCTATCTATATATACTATCTATATACACTTATGTACCTATATATACACACACACACATACATACTATCTATACATACTAATATATCTATCACACACATATATGTACTATCTACATATACTTATATATCTATAGACACACATATATGTACTAACTATATATACTTATATATCTATACACACATATATACTATCTATATTTATGTCTACACACATGTACTATCTATATATACTTATAAATGTATAGACACACATACATATATATACTATCTATATATACTTATATATCTATACACACATATATGTACTATCTATATATACTTATATATCTACAGACATGCACGCATATATACTATCTGTATATACTTATATATCTATAGATACACACATACATATCTATACTATCTATATATACTTATATATCTATACACACATATATATGTGCTATCTAGATATACTCCTATATCTATAGACACATATGTGTACTATCTATATATACTTATATATCTATAGACACACACATATATTATCTATATATACTTACATATCTATACACACATGTGCTATCTATATATACTTATATATCTATACACACAATACATACACATTATCTATATATATACTTATATATCGATACATACATACACATATATACTATCTATCTCTATATATCTATACACACACACACATATATATGTTGTCTCCACCATCAGAATAATAATGATAATAATAACAACAATAGCTAAAACTTGTATAACACTTTTTTAATGGGCTAGGCACTGTGCTAAGCATTTTACAGTTATTATCTCATTTGACCCTCACAACAACCCTGGGAGGTAGGTGCTATTACTATCATTCCCATTTTACAGATAAGGCAGCTGAGGCAGACAGAGGTTAAGTGACTTGCCCAGGATCACACAGCTAGTAAGTGTCTGAAGCTGGATTGGAACTCATGTCTTCCTGAGTCCAACATGGTGCCATCCAGCTGCCTGAATGTAAGCTACTCACAAGCAAAGATTGCTGCATCTATTATATTTGCATCCCCAATGCCTACTGCCATGCCTGGCTTACAGTAGGTGCTTAATAAATACTTGTTGATTGATACTGAAACGTGGAGATCAGTCCTTTCTGGAGGTATAAGGAATCTAACCAGTGACAGGGCAAGAAGAAAGAGCAAGTTCTCATGTGGCTGGAAGAAACAGCTTCTTCAAACTTTACCTTTCTGCTAATCCTCCTTTAGTGAGGCTGGAGATAATGATGGGATCAAAAGGCTCCTCTGTTCCTGAAATCGTGATGCCAAGGGGGCCTCCATAGCGCTTGAGCTCCACAGTGTAAATTATGGCTCCAGAGCTCTCTTGTTCATCTGAAAGAAAAGCACAGAGGGCAAGACTGAAAGGCTGTGGTTGGTTTTGAAAGAAGCAAGAATATATGTGTGTGTATGTGTGGATATGTATGCATATATGTATGTGCATATATGTGTGCATGTGTCTAAATAGGTATGTATATATGTGCATATGTGTATGTATTTGTGTCTATACAAGTGCAAATATCTGTGTATATGTATATGTGTCTATATAAGTGTCTATATGTGTGTCTATTTCATGTGGCCTTGAAGCTACATGTGGCCTTCTAGGTCCTCAAGTGTGGCCCTTTGATGGAATCCAAACTTCACATTGAGGCCCACATGTGGCCTCAGGGCTGCAGGCTCCCTACTCCTGGTCTATATAGCATGTGCGTATGTATTATATGTGTATATATGTGCATATGTCAATTATATAGGCATATGTATATCTGTGTCTATATACGTGTATAAGTGTGTATGTATATATACTAGTATACATCAATATGTATAGATATATGTGCGTATGCGTATGTGTCAATATGTGTATCTATATATGTATATACATGTTTATATAAATGTCTCTATGTGTGTATACATAGCATGCATATAGATATTGTATTTGTATATGTGTATATGTTTGTGTCTATAAGGTGTCAATATGTGTCTTTATGTATGTGTCTATGTAGGTATATAAATGTGCACGTATGTATATTTATACAGTATGTCTATGTGTACACACACATGCCTACATAGGCGCGCACGCACACACGTATGTCCATAGGTGTATTTGTGTACATATGAGTGTGTATGTCTTACATGTATGTGTTGTGCATGTGTGAATATCTGTTTATACATGCATGTGTCTATATAGGCACATGTGTGTATATGTATTATATGCATGTAAAATGAATATGTGGTCACTGGGGATATGTTGCGCATATATGTGAGTATATGCAATATATGCATCATGTGATATGTATATGTTATATATGTATTTGCATATATTAAGTTTGATAATATAAACACATGTGCATATGTATACATGCATGACTATCCCTCACATATTCATATGTCTATATCCTTACATAACTATACAGACATTTATCCCTACACACAAATATGTTTACATATAAATATATGTAGATATTTAGGTAGGAAGCTATAGGATAGTATCTTCAAAAGATGTCATTTCAGGTAAAATTTTCATTCAACTCTCTCAGGGAAAGTAGCAACCTCAGATCTTTGATTTCTGAAAATAGAGCCAGTGTACTCAAGATTATCAGTGCCAATGAAGGGACTCATTGTCCTAGATAACAGAAAACTATGAATAATCTATCTGACTGGATTCCATTTAAGTTTCTGGAAGAGAATATAAAGAGGCACACAAATAATTTACAGTATTAGCAGGATAAAATTACACAGGGACACATTGTTTCCCTTGATAGAATGGAAGCTCCGGAGGGCAGGGGTATTCTGTTTCTGCTTCTGGATCCCCAGCACCTAGAGCCTGGCATAGAATAGGTGTTCAATAATTGCTTGCGGTTGGACTGACTCAGAAGCCAACACCTCCCCCTTAAGGTGTTAAGAGTCCAGAGCACTGATTGGTCTGGACGGCTAAGCCTCTTGGAACTCATCTCATAATGTGCATCAGAACAGCACAAATACCTGGAGGCGATGGAACAGCTCAGAGACTTAGGGGAAGAGCAGGCTATAGAGTGTTTACAGGTATGTGTTTTTGAAACAGATGATAATAGCTCCAGATACATAATACTTTATAGTTTATAGAGCATTTTCTTCACAATGACCTTTTGAAGTAAATAGGGCAAGTATTATTATTATCATCATTCTATAGATGATAGAGAGAAAACCAAATTGAATGACTTAATGTCACCCAGGTTAAATATCAGGGCTGGGCCTGAAACCCGGTCCACCAACTCAACATCCTGCTGTTTTCACACCACCACAATTCATTGCCTAGAGCTGAAAAAAATGGCAGGATATTTTCAGGAGTCACTTAAATGCATCAGGGCATCGATGCTGCTGTTAAGTCAGAGAAGGTGGACACTGACCTAGCATTGTGTGGTGGAAGGAGGGTTGAATTTGGAATCAAAAGACCGGGGCCAAGTCCTTGTTCTGCCAGTTTCTACCATTATGACCACAAGTAGGTAACTACCCTGCTGTGGGCTTCAGTCTCTTTATATGTAAACTTAGAGGGTCAGACTTAATGACCTCTAAGCTACATTTCAGTTCTAAATCTATGTTCCATGGCTAGATTGGGGCTGCTAGGTGATACAGTGCATATAGTACTGGGCCTGAAGTCATAAAGACCTGAGTTCAAATCCAGCCTCAGACATTTACTATGTGACCCTAGGCAACTCACTTAATCCTGTTTACTTCAGTTTCCTCATTAGTAAAATGAGCTGGAGAAGGAAATGGCAAATCACTCCAGTATCTCTGCCAACAGAACCTCAAATGGGGCCACAAAGAGTCAGACAACTGAAAAAACAACTTAACTGCAACGACGACACAAGTCATATTATTAATGAGAGATCAATGGTTTGGGTGACCATCTCCACTCCTCACACATTGGAAATCCATTCTTGGCTATGCTCCGAGAAGACATGATGCACTGTATGACTATTCTATGATTGCTCCCCTTCTGAAATAACATCTCCACTATTAAGCACTATCAGTATGAGTATACAAGAAGTCTATGAGTGAAAATTGGGTTGAACAGATAAGAAAAGGGATACGAACACCATTTTATCACCCTTATGTAAAAGGTATGACAAGGGCCAATTCTATGACAACTTAGAAATTGAAGTGGTTTTTTTTTACCAAAAAAAAAAAATTTCAAAAGCATGCCCAGTTTTCATTATTTCTTCCTTTAGCCCATGGCTTCTGAATGGTGAAATGGACACTTTAATTCTCTAGCTAAAGACACAATGAAATGGCCTGCTGGCTCCTTTAACGAATATTGTGTTTTCAAGGTTGGCACGCATCAAAGAGACCATTAACGTATCCTTGTTTTCAGAACAGGCAACTGTTCTGTTAGGATATGAAGCCTTAAAATAAGGAGGAAAGAAAAGCTTGAGTTAACAGTTCAATCATCAGGAAGCTCAGTGAAGGATTACTGTGAATACAGATGGAAAGGGTCTGCAGAGGAATGTCACAGGCAGAGGGACAAACACATCATGTGTCCTATCCAGCCTTTTGTTCAACTTCTGGCTCCACACTCGAGCTCTGGAAGACATCTATCTTTTCCACTTGCTCAAAGTTCCCACAATGACCAGGTGCTATACCAAGAGAATTAGAGGCTACATCCCATTCCAGACTTCCAGGAGCTCATATACAATGAGTCTATCACCACAGAAAGGCAGTGCGGTATAAGGAGAGGCCAGCCTTGCAGTCAGAAAGATCAGCTTGGAGAGACTTCAGGAGATAGTGGAGGAGAGAAGGGCCTGGCAGGCTATGGTCCATGGGGTCATGAAGCACTGGATACTACTGAACAACACCAAAAGTAGCTGTGTGACCACGACCAAGTCGGCACCCCAGACAAGCCTCCATGATGATGACGTAGAGATGGCTTGCCAGTTTGCATCAATGGATGGAGTTTCAGATGAGTTGCTAATTTGAACTGGTGGAAGTAGTTCTCACTTAGGAAGTTTCACACAATGAATCATGGGTCCAAACCAAAGACAAAACAAAAAGAAATTAACAAAAAAAACCTCTTAAATTTAGGAAAAACTGTATTCAAATCAGGATGCATTTATTCTGGGTAAATTGACATCTGGCCCTCAAAAGCTACAACTGTTGGGTGACAAAGCTACCTCCAGTCTATTGCTTAAGCAGCTGGTAATAGGTGAATGATTGCCTCTAATAGGCTGCTAAGTGCATCATCAGAATAAGGTTTGATTTATATAGTGAATGAAAGTCAAATCCATCCATGTTTTATGCTGTATGATAGATGGAAACCATTTAAAATTTTAAGGATCTCTTTACACTAAGCATAAGCTGCTTTCTTTCTTTGGCCTGCCTCTGTCCAATCCACTTCAGACAAACTTCTGGGTTTTGCATCCTTCCAGTAAAAGTGAGCAGAGTTAAGATACAAGTTATCTCAGAGAACCTCATATGGTTGCCTGAGGTAAGTCATTATTTAATTGGCTTACTTAATCTCATGTTCCCAACATTGTGGTCCTGTTGCATATATAGCAAGTCTCTTGGTTGGAGGGGAGGGGGTCACTGTGCAGTCAGTACCCAATGAGAGATTGCTGGTGCTTTTCTATATCAAAAAAGCATCACAAGATCACAGATTTAGAGATGGAAAAGATCTTAACGGTCACCCAGTTCAATTCCCTCATTTAACACATGAGATAACTGAGGCTCAGTGTTATAAAGATAGATAGTGTTATGGAAGAAAGAAGCATGAGCTTGGACAGACTTTAGGAGAGAGTGGAGGATGGAAGGGCCTGGCACGCTATGGTCCTTGGGGTCATTGAAGAGTTGGATGTGACAGAACAACAACAAAAGTCACAGAGGCAGTATTTAGACCCACGTCTTTATGATTCCAGGTCTGTTGCTCCATCCACTAAACCCAGCTGCCTGTGTGCTGTGATATACCACAGGGGAAGCTTCCAATCTCTGGGATTCTTCCAGGCAGTTCACAGAATCTGAAAATTCCTAGGTTGGAAGAGATCTCAGTGAATACTGAGCCCAATTCATGTTGGAAGAAGAATCCCCACTACCACACAGCAGCTAAGTGGTCTTCTGACCTTTTCTGGAACAATCTGTTGCCTTTCAACACAGCCGATCCACCTTCTGGACCAAAGTTTTTCCTCACTTTGAGGATAAAGTTACTTCATTGAAATCCACCTCCTTCATTCCCTCCCCCCGTCATTGTTTCTATGCCTGCCAAAGAGAACAAGTCGGATACCTCATACACGTGACTGCCCCTCAGATATTAAAGCCCTCACTAGATCCTACCGTCCTCTCAAACTATTATTCTATGTCTCCTCTCTTTG